CAGGAGAGAAAGGAGGGCTTGGAGGCCCAACGACCGAAAAAGCTTCCCCTTCCAAAAACCCAAGCGCCAAAGCCACGCTCCAAGGTGGGTAGCTTGCAGCTCAAGGCCCAGCGAGACGCCGAGATGGTCCCGATGCCCAGACCACGGCTGGGAGAGCAAGGGCTTCCTAAGAGCTTTGGGATGTTGCAGGCCGCGGCTTCAGTATAGGGACGGCAGGATTCTGCAGGATTCTGCAGGATTCAGGATTCAGCTGGGGCGGTGTCTGTTTTGGCAGTTCGGGCTTTCGCAGCTCGTTGAAGTATTCAACAGAGGCAGTGGCGCAGCGAGAGGATGTGGCCAAGTCGCGGGCTCGCAAAACTGTCGGGCTTGACAACAAAGCCAAAGCTTCTAGCCCATGTTATCCCTTGACCTTTGCCGCCCTGCACTTCTCCAGCCAAAGGCCTCCGCCTCTGAAGCACTGTCTGCATACTGAGGCAGGAGATGTCCGAGCTTTCGCACAGCCTCTCACCGAGCGAGAACGTGATGTCATTGCGTGCACGAGTGGCATCCGTTGAGCTCTTTGCGCGCTCTTAAGCCCATGCTGAAGGCTTGGAACTGTCCCGTGCACGGAGTCAGTTCTTGGAGGAGCAGGTGGCAGGAATGGAGGCCACGCACACCGAAGCCACCAACCGAAATCTGCATCACTGAGCCGAGTTCGCCCCCAGCGCAGGCCCAGCTTTCCGCTGCTTCGACCAAGCTCCGGAGCCTGGAAGAGGCCAAAAGCGAGCGCGACACGGAACTGCGAGCACGGGCCCTGGATTCCGGATGTGCCCTCACGCTGGCGGCGTGCTGATGGTCAGAGTCATTGCTGCGGTTGTCGTCGCCGGTGTATGCCGTCGTCACCAATGTGGAATCGGCTGCATCCCTTCCGCGAATTCTTTGTGCACTTGTGCTGAAAATCCCGGAAACAGTAGCTTCAGCATGTCGTACACGTACACCACGTCCAGGCCATGATGGTGCCATCGCCGGAGCTGAAAGAGGACTTTATCCTCACCCGCCCCCTGAGGCATTTGGCTTCCGTAGCAAAGTCCAAACAGAGCCTTAGCCTCTGGGCCAAGAAGGAAGCTCTTGAGCCGAGCGCCCGATTGGAGATCTTCCTTGAGTTCTGCGAATTTCCTTTTTGTTCGACTTCAAGCGTCAGTGGTGCTCCTTGGCAGGAGTTGCAAGAGCTGCGCCTGTGTCTTGGTTGCACCTGGTATCTAGCATCAGGAGAGAGCAGCGGCACCAAACAGGTTCATGCCTAGAAGAACACGAGTTTTCGTGGCCATTTTCCATGCCTGCTTGAAGAATTTACCAGAGACGAAGAGATTGCACCAGCTGTACACAGCCGGATGCTGGGTGCTTGCGCGCACGACAAAAAGACGCAGCGAGAGAGAGGTAAAGAGAGAGGGGAAGAATAAGAAAGAGACAGAGACAGAAGGAAAGCCCAGGGTCCGCGGCAAGATATTATCAAGCCGGTTCCGCAGGAGCGAATGGTCCAAACTCGGAAGTTTTGTGCCTGTGGAGGCGCCTCCGAGAGCAGGAAGTCCGAGGGGAGGCCGCGAGCTTACATCGGGAGTTTCAGAAAATCGGGGACCCTACTGTAGCCCTAGCAGAGAGCCCCAAAGAAGAGGACTATTACAGGGACTCCCAAATCACGTAAACTAGGGGACCCCGATACAGAACCCACAGAGAGGATCCGTTTTATAAAGATCCCCTAAATAAGGTATCCTCGGATTCTGACTTAAGCGTTTCCTTGGGCAATTCTGCAAGGCCATCGCCGCTTCTCGAGACCACTTCAAGCACAAGGCCCGGGCGGGGTCCCCCTCCATAAATAAGCAAATCAACGAATAGATGCAACATTTAAGTATGGTATAGAAACCCTCGGCCCCAGCCCCGACTCAAAAATCTTAAACCACTGAGGCCCCAAACCCTAAACCCTACAGGGTAGGTGTTCAGGTGGTGGAATCCCTCCCTAGTTGTGCTGGCTCCCAATATCTTGCCTCAACCGGCATTTCGGGGCGATCAACAAAAACCCTCACCCTAAACCCTAAAGCCGCAAGGCTAAAACCTAAACCCTCTGAGCCCTAAGCCCGAAACCCTATAGCCTCCCTGTTTCTGCTCCCTTCTTGTCGTGGCAGGTCCAGGAGCTTTGTGGTCGCCTTCTTGGCTCCGGCCCTGCTCAGAACATGCAGACACAGGCGGACGTTTGGGTTCAGGGTTCAGAGGGTTCAGAGGGTTTAGGGGTTTAGGGTTTTGGGTTCAGAGAGGATCGAGAAATACCGGTAGTAGTTCATTGAAGTGCAAGTGGAGCGTCCGTGGCGGTAGGAGACCGCCCTGACGGCTCTTGGTGTACTTGGCCGGGTGGCCCAGATCCATCGCTTTCGGCTTCAGCAGAAGCTCAGGCTCATCAGCTTTGGCAGAATCTGCCTCTGTGGGATCTCAGCCTCGGAGCCTTCAGGAACGTCTTCGGCTGGGGATGTGACCAACAGCATCACCGAAGCCCTGCGCAAGGCGGGGTGCCGGCAAGGAAGGGACTGTCTACGATCGAACCGCTTGGCTCGCCTTCTTGCGCACATTCTCAGGTGAGGCAGGAGTTGGCAAACTTGGCGTGGAGCCGACTTGTTTCCGACGTAGACTCCTTGATTTGAGCTCGAGAGTTGAAAAGAGTGTAGATGGATTCTGGGATTTTTGCTAGCCGCCCTTGCCGTCTCCTCTGTAGAATCGAGCGGCCGGCAGGTCTCACTGGGACCGGGCTGACCCAGACCAGACGCGAGAAGAGCCGGAGAGGCCTGCGCAAGGGCCGCCATCGCCAGCTTCAGCTTGGAGTTTGGAGGCCCGCGGCGGGTCCAGTGCGGACTTCACAGGACGTGGGGCTGCCAGACATCTGCACGGAAAGTATTTCGCAGACATTACCTGGTCCTTGTGCTTCCGATTCCCGCACCCTCACAGTCACCGATGCGTAGACAGTTTGAGGACTCTGAAAAAGCAGAGCGGCACCTCGTGTGGCTGCTCAGAGTGTCTTGAGGCCCTGGTCATCTTTGTTGGCTACTGGGAATTTGCGGCATTTGCTGGCTCCTTCCGATTGGCCCAATGCCATCGGACAAAGGCCGTCAATACCAATTTGCCAAGTCGAGGCTTCTAAGGTCCCTTCCGCGCTATAAACCGGCACCCGGCAAGACGCCCTCACCGAAAGCCCATATCCTGTCGTTCACGTTCCTGTGGACAGGCAACCTCACAAAAAGAGCCAACCTTCTTGAAATGATCGTTATTCTGATCGCTTCGAGCCTGTCTGGGTCTCAAAGCAACGGCCCCCAAGCCGCTGTTGGGATGCCAAGAAGACTTTGGGATACAGGCATAACTAAATCATCCAACGTCGGGGAGTCTTGAGTGGGGCTGCCGGCTACATCCGGCTACAATGAGCGGAAGCTCTCTGAGCTTGCCCAGAGAGCCCAATACCCCTTAATTAAGAAATATACCTTAAACTTAAACTATAATATGAAGGCCCCTATAATTTTAGGTGAGTTCCTTAATTTGGGGGTATTGAGCTCTCTGGGTAACAACCAAGGCCTGGCTCCGCACGCAGCGGCGTCAGCTACTCGACAGCGGCGTGTATGGAAGCCCGAGCCTCAGACGGACAAACCCACCATGGACCTCTCCTAAAGCGGCTTTCCGTCTCGAGGCAGCGATGCTGTGGTACTGGCACTGGATGTGAAGATAGCGCAGGCTGAGGGTAAACTTGTCTCCTTTGGTCGGCACCTGTTGCGTGTCTGTGGAGGCCGAGGCTCAGATCACTTGACAGCAGGCGGCGAGGAGTCTGAGGCAAAACAGCTTGTACATAGGGTTTGTACATAGTCACCCCGCTTGGCTTGCCTGAGACTGCTGTGCTCAATGTGGACTGACGCAGTCTGCTGAAGTGTTTTTCGGCATGGTGCTCTCCAGGCAATGCAGGCAGGAGAGGGAGTGAGGGGGGTCGCGCAGCCGACCGCTGCAAGGGCGATGGCGCTGCTTATCTGCGTGGGGTTGCAGAAAGATGGTCAACATGTTCTGAAGTCTCAGATAGGCCCCTGCCGCCCGCTGTCGTTGATGTCAGAGGGGTTGCAGAGCTGTGTTGTTGCAGGCCAACTTCCCCCATCAGGCGGCCGTCGCCTGTCCCTGCCTCAATGCCCACGCTGCAAGGGCCCAAAACCAGCGTAAAGCAAAGGTTTCTGACTGTAGCGGAGTCAGCAGTCGGTTCGTGTACCGTTCGCACAGACCAAGGCTCGTTTTGCACCAACTGCAATCGCAGTTAGACTTATATAGTATAATCTATCCCAAAACCCTATTCCAAGTATTGAAGGCCCCTATATAAGTTACGCCAAATTGGTGCTACAGCCGCCAAGATCGCCGAGCCTGGGATGTCCATGGAGAGCTTCCAGAGTCCCGCGCTGCCACCGCTGAGAGGGGTCCTGGTTGTGCGGAGGTAGGGGCGGACCTGAACGGACCACGCTCTACCCTGGTCACCTGTTTGGGATGCCGGGGTGGGGTGGAGGAGTGAACGGGTCGGAAGTCCTCCAATAGTCACACTTCAGCTTCCGTTTTAGACAGAGTCACGGAATAATTGACAAACTGGGACTGTTTACGGAGGGTTCCGGCTCGAGCTTCGTTAGGCTTATCCCTGAAGCTGCAAACGCAGTTCCAGAGAGCCCTGAAGATCAGGGCTTCCAAAAGCCTTTTCTTTCCACCCATGAGCCCGAGAGATTTAAAAGTCTTGTTGTGCCCACACAGTGCGACTTTCACATGGCTGTCCTGGCCATACCCTTTTTTCTCATGCTTGCCAGCACTACCCAGCTAGTAGCATTAAGCTGAAGCATGTTGGAGCAGCTTTGCCATCCAGCTCCCTCCGTCAGTACAGTTCCTCCCGATTTGCCCGTTTCATCCTGCACAACGCATCCGAGCAACGTGCCTCCGAGTGATTGGAGCGTACCTGGTTGCACCATGGGATGCAGCCGCAGCGCGGTTGTCTGCCAGGAACGAACTGCTGCGAAGCTTGGCGGCAGCCCGGGGTTCTCATGGCGACCAAACCGGTTTCTGGAGCGTTTCATCGGGTGCAGACCTTGAGGTCAATGTGCCGGCAGAGACGTATGTGGCCGTGGATCCCGGTACATGTTAATCAGGGCGCTTTCTTGAAAACCGTGGTTCCACAGTTTTGACTCAGAAGTTCCTGATAGCAGAAGCGAAGCAGAATAGAGCTTGCGAGGAGCGGTTTGGGGCCTTCCAGAGATTGCTTGGACCTGGATTTGGTTTCGCTGGACTGGACATCTGCGGAACTTGCATTACATTTCGCGCCATTTCCACCCGTGTTGAAGAGGAGCACTGCTCAATATCTACACAGACCCGTGACCATGAGTTTATTACAGCTGAGATTACCATCCAGTATTCGGTGATACCCAAACAGGCCAAAGATGCGATCTACAAGTTGGTGCATGAGAATTTCGACGGCTTGATGCGGTCTTTCCTCACCGGACCTGTATGCACATTTTTGAACAGGCTGAAACTGGAAGAGGTGTTCGGAAGGAAGGACGAGATGACCGGTTCGGTTCGTGATCAGCTTTCGGACTACGTGCGCGGCTATGGGTTCACCATCCATCGCATGGAGGTCGGCGATGGGTTTCAGGTCATCGGATGATAAAAGAGACTCGGTGCTTCAGTTTCGGCTCAGAAAGCCCTGAGGTGACGGAGCTCAAGGTCTGTCCCGATGTGATGCATGCCATGAACGAGGCCCATAAACAGCGACGGGCTCGCGACACGGCTGAGCTGACGATGGCCAGCCATGCCGCACAGAAAGCCCAAGAGGCAGGACGTCTGAAGAGTATGAGATACGAAGAAGCTCAGCAACAGCATAATCACAGGATTCTTGCAGAGACTGGAGGCCTAGAGAGCGGATGGTCAGTCCATGAAGCCACCGCCTGAAATTTGAACATCTATCAGTAGCGAATCATGATGAAGCGCTGGAAGTCCTGGCTGTCTGCAAGACCACGAAGGCCACGCACACGCCTGAGCTACAACGACACGTCTGTAGCTGCAATCGCATGTGTTTCAATTATGTTTGTGTCATGCAGCTTTTGAAAATTGACGCGCTTTGTGTTTTGTGTATTTAAGGATGGATGCGTGTATGTGTGTAGGCATGTATGCATGTATGTATGTATGTATGTATGTATGTATGTATGTATGTATGTATGTATGGTATGTATGGTATGTAATGTAACGTAATGTAATGTAAGGTAACGTAATGTAATGTAATGTCATGTAATGTCATGTCATGTCATGTAGCGTAGTGTGTAATGTAATGTAATGTAACGCAATGTAATGTAATGTAGTGTAATGTAAGGTAGTATTTTTGAGTGTAAGATGCGTGAGGTATATGATGCATGTACTGTACTGTACTGTACTGTACTGTACTGTACTGTACTGTACTGTACTGTACTGTACTGTACTGTACTGTACTGTAATGTTTTTTTGTAAGGTTTGTAACGTATGTAATGTGCGTAATGTATGTTATGCATGTTATGCAAATCAGAATGAAGGACATAAGCATGTATTTATGCATCCATGCATGCATGCATGCATGAATGCATGCAGGACGTGAAACATGTGGTATAGATGAGAGCAAACAGGCAAACACCCAAACATCGTACATACATACTTATGTACCTACATACATCCATCCAGCCATTCATACATACATACATACATACATACATACATACATACATGCAGCTATCACACGCACACGCATACACGCACACGCACACACACATACATACATACATACATACATACATACATACATACATACATACATACATACATATATATGTACACATACGTAGATTTGTCCATATACAGGTAAACATGCAGTTGTGGATTAGATTAGCATTGTGTATATACATATATCTATAATGCATGTATATCTGTATATATGCATTATGACAGATGTACATACTACTGTTGATGAGACGAATCCTGCATTACCGTAAGCACCCTAAACTTTGATAATTATGGTATATTCCTTGCTATAGGTAATGCAGGATTTATATCATGAACCGTAGTCTGAAGCCCTGACGGAACAGGCCGCCGAACTGGCCTCGGCATCGCGTCTCCGGGGCGAGCGCCTGGCAGCCGAATGCTCTGCTATCCTGGAGGGCCTACAGGCTCGGAGTTTGGCTTTCGCTCTCTCTCTCTCTCTTTCGCGCTCTCGCTCGCTGTTTTTGAGGAGACAGCGAGATGTAGGTAGGTGGACATAAAGAAAGATAGCTCTATATGCACGTATATGTACATATGTAGTTTGACATTTATGCACGTGCAGGTATATCTTTGCTGCCCGATCTTCGCTCTCTCTCTCTCTCTGTCTCGCTCTCTCTCTCCCT